GGAGAGGAAGGCCCCAGGAGGGCTGGGTCCGTGTCTCATTGGCCAGAGCCTAGTGCGGTTCTGGCATACACTAAGCATCTGATAAGTACCGACTGAGGGAGAGAGGGAGGGAGTGAGGGGTGAATGAAAGGAGAACTGGACTCAGAAGAGCTGGGATCTTGCGTCTCCTGGTACCTCCGGGCAAGTGACCTGGCCATGTCCCATTCAGCTCTGGATGTTTTTCCTGCGGCGGGGAGTGGGCAGGGCCAACACTCTCATGGTCCCCTTTCCTCCCCAGCCAGGTGAACGTGAGTGTCTACAACCGCCTGGAACTGCGCAATTCCTCCAACGTCCTGGGGTTCATCCGCGGGGCTGTGGAGCCTGGTGAGCGCCCCCTCCCCGCTCCCTGCGCCCCAGGACCTGTCCTGCCCTGCGCTCCTCCGCTAAGCCTGGCTGACCCCGCCCTCTTCTCTGGTTTTCGACTCTCCTCCTCCGGCCAGACCGCTATGTGCTGTACGGGAACCACCGGGACAGCTGGGTACACGGGGCCGTGGACCCCAGCAGTGGCACTGCTGTCCTCCTGGAGCTCTCCCGTGTCCTGGGGACCCTGCTGAAGAAGGGTGAGGCCGCGCCCCCCCCCCAATCCAGGGACTCTCCCCGCTGGCGGTCAGCTCCACGCCCACTCCTTCCTAGGTCTGGGGGTGCTGTCCCGCTTCCTCCCATTCTCCACTGCTCACTTATGCCAAGCCTGAGGGCCCTGAGGGCCGGCAGGCATGGACACCAGCCCTGGCCTCAAGTAGCCCAGTGTGGTACAGAGAACGGCCCATTGATTAATTTGTCCAGTAGCTTCTGAGAGCCCAGATCCCGCTGTGAGCAGGGCAGTGCCCAGCTTCTGCCCTCCAGGAGCTTCAGCCCAGTTGAGGCAGGGATGAGAGACAATCAATCATTCACTCAACAAATATGCCTCGGTGCCCACTATGTGCCAGGCCAGTTCTAAGCACGGGAGATCCCACAGTGAACACCCCAGAATTCCTGCCTGTGGTGACAACTGTGATATGTACTATAAAGAAATATATCTAAGAGGCTTTCCAGGTATGAGTCAGAGGACAGCGGACAGCCGGGGAAAGCGGGGTGGGATGCAGGCGGAGGGCACAGCATGTGGCAAGAAGGGGCTGGACTAGGTGGCAGATTCCGCAGGGACAGGTTGAGGTTCTATTCAAGGGCAGCGGGAAGCTCGTGAGGGATTTTAATCAAGAGAGTGAAGTGATGAAGTCCAACTTTAAAACAGCTTCCTCTGCTACAAATTGGGAAGGGTATGGGGGGCAGGCCCTGTGTGGAGGGACCAATCAGAGGCCTTGTCATCCTCAGGGCCAGTAGACATGGGGGCTTGGGCCAGGGCAGGGGCAGTGGGAAGGAGACAGTGTGAGAACTTGAGGTCTGTTGGTGACAGAGGTAAGGGAGAAGTTGAGTGGGGGGCTCCCAGACTTCTGATTTCTGGTCCAAGCATCCCAGTGTATGGCGGTGACATTTATGAAAACCAAAACAGGGTCAGAGGGCAGATCTGGGAGGAAGAACAGGAATTCAGTTCCTTTTATTGTGGTAAAATATACATACATACCATAAAATTTGCCCTTCTAATCATTTCCCTCCAATAACTTACTTATTAGATTTAAGCATTTATGACCATACTTTGATGTGAGTAACTACCTCCCAAGCACAGGCAGGCTGGGAAACCCTTGATGCTCTATGTTAGTGGGAGATATATATATTTCAGGTATACAACATTATAATTTGACATCTTGTGTACACTACAAACTGATCACCATCAAAAAGTCTAGTTACTATCCATCACCATTCAATTGACCCCCTTCACCCTGTTTGCCCACCACCAACCCCCTTCCTCTGTGGTAACCACTGATCTGTTTTTTGTATCTATGAGTTTGTTTTTGTTTTATTTTGTTCATTCCCTTTCTGCCACTTTGAGTTGTACAGTTCAGTGGCATTAAGTGCCCTCACACTGTTGTGCAACCATCACCACCACTCATCTCTAGAACTTTTTCACTCTCCATTACATATAGCATCCTAAAGTTATAACTACCTCATCTGAATTGATTCCAACTTAACTTCAACTCATACAAAAACTCTACTTCCATAAAGCTGTCCTTCCCTTTTACAGTATCGATGTTACTAATTACACCTTTATACATTGTGTGTTCATTCATGTACTGATTTTGAGATGCCCCCGGGAGAGGCAAGCAGGCAGTTGAAGGTGATCTCCAGGTCAGAAACAATAAACTGGGGAGTTGGTGGTGTAAATGGTATGTGAAACCACAGGTGTGGTTGTGATTAACTGATAAGGAGGGATGTGGAGAGAGGAATCTTGTGGGGAGAGGCTGGGCTTTTGACTTTACCCCCTTTGGTAGTGCAGGAATGTCTCTCTTTGTTATTGTTAAGTGTTTTATTTTGAAATAATTTTAGACATACAAAACAATTGCAAAAATAGTACAAAGAATCCTCATATACTCTCCATCCAGATACTCCTAATATTAATGTGTTACCTTGTTTGCTCTATTTACTTTTTTTGGAAATGTTTGAAAGTTGCAAAAATGCTATCTTTATCCATAAACATGTCACTGTATACCTCTTAAAAATAAGGACATTTTATTTCATAACCACAATACCATGTCAGAATCAGGAAATTAACAATTTTGCCAGTTGTTTCAGTAATGACCTTTAGAGCAAAAGAATTTTCTGGTCCAAGAGCCAGTCCATGATCATACCTTGCATGTGCAGTAGAGGCATGTGTGCTCTGTAATAGTTCCTAGGTGTTCTTTGTCTTTCACAATCCTGATATTATCTTGTTGAATGTCCCTTCATTTGGGTTTGTCTGACTAGATGCAGGTTATTCATTTTGAGCAGGAAAAAGCATGGGAATTTGTAATTGCAAGTATGTAATCATTTTATACTTTAAAAAATTAATTTACAACTAAAAGATAAGGAATGATCAAAGGGGACTGAGTTGCAGCCAGAGATGGGAGCACCTGGCACCATGGAGAGTGAGGGGGAGTCTGGAGGAGGTCAGGGGGCAAGCAAGGGAGGTGGCTGGGGGCCGTGGCAAGAGCAGTATGGCATAGAGACTGGTGATGGAAGCCAGGCTGCAGGAGGCTGTGGGAGGCAGTGTGGGGCATTGGTTAAGCCCCTGGACTCTGCAGCCAGACCCTGGATTTGAACCCCGGCTCTGCTGCCTACCAACTGTGTCATCCTGGGCAAGTCATTTAACTTCTTTGTGGTTTAGTTTTCTCAACTGTGAGATGGAGACTATAGTAGTTTCTCCCTCAAGGCATTCGTTGTGAGGATTGGCTCAATATGGATAGAGTGCTTAAGGAGAACATTAACATCTTGTCACTAAGTGAAGAAGGGCGAGTTTTTGCATAGGATGCATGGAGGAGACAGTAGGGGGTGGAGGGTCAGGTCTTTCCAAAGCATATCTATAGAGAAGACGGAAGCAGGGCATCTGCCGAAGGGGCCACCTGACCCTGGGAGGTTGGTGTTGAGGGCAATGTTGGGATGGGGGTGGGGTGTCACAAGCAGGGGAGGGAGGCTGGGAGAAGGAGGACAGAGTCTCCAGAAAGGTTTTGCTGGAAAGGTGCCAGGACCTACTTCTTGTCACGGGCTGCCCCACCCCTTCCAGCCCTTCCCTCCTCTCGAAGTCCTCAACCTTTCCCCTAAGCCACCCCAGGATCCGGGGGACTCTACCCTCCAGTCCTTTATCCCTCTCCCCAGACACCTGGCGGCCCCGCAGATCGATCGTGTTTGCGAGCTGGGGGGCAGAGGAGTTTGGGCTCATTGGCTCCACAGAATTCACCGAGGTGAGTGCGCCCTGTAGGGTAGGCGATCGAGGGGACCCCCGGGGCGGGTCAGTGCGGGGCTGAAGTTGCCCCTCCCACCCACAGGAGTTCTTCAGCAAGCTGCAGGAGCGCACCGTGGCCTACATCAACGTGGACATCTCGGTGTTTGGTATGGGGAGGAGGGGCGCCTGGGCTGACTGGGGAGGAGGGAAATGAAGGGGCTGCGGCCCAGGTAGAGTCTTTCTCTGATCCTCCCACAGCCAACGCGACCCTGAGGGCACAGGGGACGCCCCCGGTCCAGAGCGTCGTCTTCTCAGCAGCCAAACAGGTGAAAAGGGGGCGGGGCTGGGAGTGAGGCGGGGCAGTGGACAACGCTTGTTGGGTCTGAGGAGGGGCCAGCCCCGAAACTTAACTCCCCTTGCGTCAGATCCCCTTACCTGGCTCCGGCAGCCTCAGCATCTACGACAATTGGATCCGGTATTTCAACCGTAGCAGCCCGGTGTACGGCCTGGTCCCTAGGTGAGACTGGGGCCGGAACAGGGCCCCAGTGGGCGGGCTGGCTGGCCCAGCAGCCTCCAGCCCGACCATCTTCCTTTCTGCAGCTTGGGCTCTCTGGGTGCTGGCAGCGACTATGCACCCTTCATTCACTTCCTGGGCATCTCCTCCATGGACATCGCCTACACCTATGACAGGGTGAGGCCACCCCTCGGTCCCCCAGCTCAGTACCTTGCTTCACCAGCCAGCCCCCTCCTCTTTTTCAGGATGCTCTAGCGCAGGCTGAATCCGGTTCCATCACTCAGGAGCTGAGCTATAACACCTTGGCCAAATTTCTTAACCTCTCTGAGAATGTTTATGCTCATCTACGCTATTTTATCAAATTTAAGAGACTACTGATTGTAAAACGCACCATTATGAAGTGCACTATTCAGGAGGGAATAAAAAAACACTGCCAATTAGTTGTAGGATATTGACTTTAAGAAGCATCCTGATTCCAGAGATCTTAAGATGTGGGGGGAAAAAGTTTATCTCAGAATAGATTAAATAACAGTATAAACAGGAGTGATTCATAGCGTTGGTGTGAGAGTGAAATAAGGGATGCAGTGTCCAGTCCGTGTCTCTGATGCTCCAAAAAGCCCTTTCTCCCCTTCAGTGCCACACCACTCTTGGGTGATGGAGCTGGGATTTACATCCTCTTGTCTGATTCCAAAGCTCTTCTGTCATGTAAAATAGAAAAGTGGCACCTGACCCAACTCTGTCACTTATTGGCTGTGTGATGTCAGGCAGGTTGCTTAATCTCTCTGAGCCTGTTTCCTCCTCTGTAAAGTGGGAATTCTAGAACTTACCTAATGGATGTGGCAAAGATTTAACTGAGACAATGTCCCTACATTGTAGCTCACTGTAGGTATATCTCCTTCCACATCCCTCCCAAGCCAGTCACCTCTGGGCCTTGTTTCCCCAGAGCAAGACCTCAGCCCGGATCTATCCCACCTACCACACAGCCTTCGACACCTTTGGTTACGTGGACAAGTTCCTGGACCCTGGTGAGGAGGGGGCAAGGGGCATCCTGAAGCTGGAGGAGGATGGGCTGAAGACTGAACCCTGGTCTTGTCACCCTCCCTGCAGGCTTCAGCAGCCACCAGGCTGTGGCCCAGGTGGCAGGGAGCGTGCTTCTCCGGCTCAGTGATAGCCTCTTCCTGCCTCTCAATGTCAGTGACTACAGTGAGACACTCCAAAGCTTCCTGCAGGCTGCCCAGCAGCACCTCGGGGCTATGTTGGAGCAGCAGAGCATCAGCCTAGGTACGGAGCCCCCGACATTCAGGCATGGGGAGCTCTGCACCCACAGGGCTAAGATGCTGGCTGTACCCTACAGGGCCTCTGGTGACTGCAGTGAAGAAGTTCGAAGAGGTGGCCACGGCCTTGGGCCAACACATATCAGTGCTGCAGAAGGACACCCCCGAGTGAGCAAGGGCAGCAAGCAGGTGTCTGGGAGGGTGGCATCCAGGGTAAGATGCAGGCTGGCATCTGGGCGGCTGACTCCAGAGTGACCAGCAGCAGGTCCTGTCACCTCCTATAGCCCGCTGCAGGTCCGGATGCTCAATGACCAGCTGATGCTCTTGGAAAGGACCTTCCTGAACCCTCGAGCCTTCCCAGAGGAACGCTACTACAGGTGAGCCTGTCTCAAAGCTCTTGAGAGGTGAGGTGGGGTGAGGTGGGGTAATGGGCATCTGCCTGAGGGAGGAGAATGTCAGCATTTCTCGGGCCTCTAGGGGAATCAGGCTCAAAGGAGCGGAGACAAATTGGTCCAAGTCACCCTGGGACTAGAGCCTATATCTCCCCCTACCACCATTGCTGTTAAGGGCCCCAGCTTTCAGAGGCAGTGGGGAGGTGCTTTTGTGTTTAGCTGTAGATACAGGAGCTGAGCCCGTTCCAGGCTGAGCTTCCTCTGTTCCAGGCCCCCAAATGACTCTGATCCTCCTGTTTCTCCTGTTAGCCACGTGCTCTGGGCGCCCCGCACCGGCTCTGTGGCCACATTCCCAGGCCTGGCCAATGCCTACGTCAGAGCCATGAACACAGGACCTGGATCTGCAGCCTGGGCTGAGGTACAGAGGCAGCTCAGCATCGTGGTGGCAGCCCTGGAGGGTGCAGCAGCCACCCTGAGGCCTGTGACTGACCTCTGACCCCAGCCCTCCTTCCTCAGCTCTCCACCACCCCCCTTTATCCTAACCCTCTCCCACGCCAGTTTTGTTTGGGTGTATCCTGTTTTCCCTGATGCCAGGAGAGGGCACAATCACAGGACCCTCTCAAGTTTCTGAAGCAACAGCTCGGGGTCCCACCAGTTGTGGACACCTGAGGGGAATGACAACCCCTAGATGAAACTCTCCCTCTTCCTGGCTCTTGGTTGGCAGAGGGTAGAGAACAGGAGGCGGGGATAGTGGAAACGGCAAACCCACCAACTGCTCTTGGTGGTGGGCAGGTAAGGATGGGATGCATAACACCAACCTTAGATGCCAACTCAGAGGCCACCAGAGCCACCCCTCAGGCATTGGTGGGGAAACTGAGGCCCAGGAAGGACAGGGCCTTGCATTCTCTGGGTTTCTCTCCCTCCATACCCCTAGCATGTTTCAACTCCTCCCTGCCCTCCCCCAAATAAATCAAGCCTAGCTATTGTCCCTACAAGTTCCTTTTATTGTGTGGGAATCATGAAAAAGAAACCTGAGTGCTCAGACCCAGTCCTGGGCTCTGGGACACTGCACAGCCCCTCCTCAAGCGCGGGATTTGGATCTGTCCCCACCCTCATCTTCCTCCTCTGCCATGACTACCTCCTCCAGGGTGCGCCCTCCAAGTTTGCTCCCCACCAACACTTTGCAAGCCCCCACAGGTGGTAGCCCCTTCTCAGTGTAGCGGCCCCTCAGGAACACAACTCTCTCCTGTCCATCCAAGGGCAGTCCATGGGTCTGGCACAGGTCCTGTGCCTCCTCCGGCCCATCCAGGGCCAATAAGTGGACCATGAAGCCCAGGGGTAAGGTCTGGCCCTTGGGGGTGCTTAGGGCACGAGCGAGGCGGGCCAGGGCTCTGCGGCGGGCATGGCCCACGTGGCATTGCACAGCGCAGCTCTGCAGGTAGGGCAGGGTCCTGAGCAGGCGGAATAGGCGGGCAGTATTGCCTTCGCGGAAGGCTGCGTCCACAGCCAGGGCCGTGCGCAGTGCTGGGCAGGAACGCAGGGCAGCGGGCAGCTGCAGAACCTCATGAAGGGCCTCCACCGAGCCTGTAAGGGCGGGAAGCCAGGGTGAAAACGCAATGAATCCTTCCAGGATCAGGCACACCTTCCATCCTGCCGGCTTAGGCCTCTCCCTACCCATCTCCCCTCCCACTCACTCCAGCCCTCTACCAAGCCCATCTCTGGCCACGCCCCTCCCTAGGCCAAGCCCATTTTTTCTCCCCCTTTCCCCATCAGCCCTTTCCTAAGCCACCACGTCTGAATGAGTTGCCATGGGTTCCAGAGCCCCCGCAAACAGCCTGGATCCTCATAATAAAGTGAGGCAGTGTTTACAGATGAGGGTAACAGGCCCAAATAATTTAACGACTTGCCGGAGACTGTCCTACAGTTCATATGTAGTAGATCCCGACCCAAGCATTCTGACTTGGAACCCAGCCCTTTCTCCACTGCCCTAGCTGCCCCACAGATTAGGACACGGCTACACCTTTCCTGGTCCGCCTGGTAAGGCTATACGTAATTTCTTCGACGAGGTTCTCCTGCCCCTGCTTCCTTTTCAGAAGAATCACGGACACTGGAACCTTTGGCCACTTTTGTAAACTGAGGCTTCTGACCCATAAGTGGGCTGTGAAGTCAACAGCATTTTATTACATTTAAATAGAACTTATTAGAATACACCATCCACCCATAGGAAAGATCTAAAGTTTTGAGACTTCTGTCTCATATATTCGTGGGCATACGTGTTCTTGGATGCTTTGCAACACTGAAGTGGAGGTTCAAAAAAGTTTGAAAATCACCCAGAGATGGGAAGGGACTGGCCAGAGGCCCACGTCGGGGCTCGGTGGACCTTGTGCATTGACTCGATACACATTTAGGAGACAGGGAGAGAGCTAATGGTAACATTTTAAAGCTTCTCTTTCCTTCCCTGCTCTCCACTGTTCGCTAGCAGGGTTCCCAGCCCCCGCGTTCTGTCCCGCCGCCAGGACTCCGACTCACCCAGGTTATAGAGCAGAAAGAGTCCCTGGAAGGCGGCCTGGCGGGGGTGCGGCCCAGTGCTCTGCGCGTAGCAGCGTCGCAGCGAACCGAAGCCCTCCTGCACCTGGGCCTGCAACAGCACCGGGTCTGCTGGCCCGCGAGCTGCATCGGGTCCGAGTCGCGCCACCACAGCCAGCAGCACAGCCAGCGCCGCCTCCAGCACCACCGCCGCCTCGGAGTCGCCCGCGCGCTGCAGGGCCAGGTCCAGCCGCACGGCGCGCAAACGGTCAGCCACGAAAGCGGCCACCTCGGCGCGGGATGCGTCGGCGCGCTCCGCCACCTCGCCGGCCAGGTAGCGCACGGTGGCCAGCAGCACGGACGGCGGACGCAGCTGGCTCGGTGAAGGCCGGGCTTTGCCGGCGGCCGGACGGCTGTACTCCTTCACGGCGCGATGCGGATCCGCGCGGGGCCGGTCCCCGCGGTACCCCGGCGCCACCTCGAAGCGGTGCAGGCGGCACTCCTTTTCGCGCCGGGCGCGCTCGGCGGCCGGGCACATCTCCGGGCACGTGCCCACGGGAAGCTCGTAGCCGGGCATGGGTGGGCTGGGGGGAGAGGATGGGCGCTCAGCATCCCGGGGACTGCGGCGGCCACTCGCCCCATTCTGCCGGAGAGCACCAGCAGGCCGGCGGAAGCTCGGAGAAGACTAGGCGGGGCTGACCTCGGCTAGGCCCGCCTTCCCGCGGGGTTCTAAGCGTCCCCGCCTCCCGTCCGGCCACCGCCGTCCTCTCACCGAGTCCCGTTAACTCCCACAAAGCCTCAAGCAGTAGTTTAACGACACTACCTGTTCCGCGCGCTCAGGCCCGGTTAATACCCTCCCATAATGCGCCGCGCACAGTCCAGGCTACTTCCATGACGCACCGGTTTGTAGTCCCTTCCGCAACCGAACGCTTTGCCGAGGGAGGGGCAGGAGCGGAGCCACGCCTCCCAGGATCTAGCCCAATAGTCACTGTTTGGCATTGGGCATCCACCCCTCCAAAAATAGGTATCCCCATTTTGGGTTCCTCTCCATCATCTCATTCAACCAATAAATTGGTTCAGTCAGCCTTACTGTCATTCTCCACTCTGGAGGCCATTCTCCCTATTTTCTAGATCAGAGGTCAGCAAACTTTGTGTAAATGTTTTAGGACTTAGGGTCACAACTACATACTCAATTCTGCAACTATTCAACGCTGCTGGTGTAGTGGGAAAGCAGCCACAGACAATACTAAACGAATAGGCCTGTTTGTGTTCCAATAAAATTTTATTTTTAGATACTTAAATTTCATATCATTTTCACCTGTCACAGAATATTTTTCTTTTGATTTTTTTCAACTATTTAAAAAAATGTAAAAACCATTCTAGCTCATGGGTCTTACACAAAAAAGTAGGGGGCCGGATTTGGTTGCGGGCTGTAGTTTGCAGACCCCGGTTCTAGATAGGTAAACAGATAGTTTAGTGACAGAGCTGCTGCTCACACATCAAGATAGAGACAGGTAGGATCAGAAGTGTGAGTCCCTGGTCCATGCTGACAGGTGTGGTCAGGGAGCTGAGAAGTCATTATTTATCTCATTCTTGGTCCAGTTACATACAGAAATGGCCCCTGGAGTTACAAGAGCAGAAGATACGGCCAGCCCCCAGGGAGAGGAGATGGGGGTGGCTGGCAGTGCTGGAGCTTGAGTCCTGGGGAAGCGTCCACTCCCTCCCTCTCAGGGTGGGAGCTGGGACAGGTGTAGGTGCAGTATTTCCTCTGCCCGCTTTAGATACTCGGCCGCCTTCTTCTTCACACCCTCCCGGCGGGCAGCTGATGGGTCACCTGTGGAGAATGGCTCAGCTGTACCTGCATTTAGAACCCCTGGTTTATGTGCAGGACGCCAGGGCTCATCCCCGCCATGCTGCCTTCCAGGGCCTCTTTCTGTTCTATAACCTAGGTGAGTCAGAGTCCCAGCAGCTGGGCGGAACGTGGGGGCGGGGGACCCTGCAAGTGAACAGTGGAGGCCAGGGATGGAAAGAGAAGCTCTAAACCCTGATAGTTCACAGAGCATCAGTGTATGTCTTTCCCCTTCCTGGAATCAGATCTATTCTCCCCATTTTATGAACAAGGAAATGGAGGCCACAAGAAGTAGAGAAACTGCCCAAGGTTATACAGCTGGTCAATGAGGAGCAATTCTGAACCCTGATGTGCTTGTTCTTCACGTTCCCTTCCCTTTGCTGCACTATCTGGGACCCCAGGCCTGACCCTCCAGTTCTACTCACCAGGAACTCCTTGAAGCAGGATGTGAACACCATCCCGATAGCCCTGCAGAGCTGCAGGGTAGGCGCCTGCCTTCTCGTCCCGTAGGGCCTGGGTGATGAGCTCTGTGGCTTGGCTCAGATAGGCAGGGGCAGACCCTCCTTCCTCATCTTCTTCCTCCTCCTGTCCTCCTGGCTCCCAGGGTTCCTGGTCCAGCTTCTCTGCCTCTGCCTCCATTGCTGCCAGCTCACCTATGTGGGTAGGACTGGGGCCTGCACCTTCTGCAATCAGATGTAGAG